CTGGCCCTTCAATTTGGAGGATCTGACGAATTTTACACCGCAAGCGATGCTTCATTCGCAGACAATACACTGGACAGGAAGAGTTCTCAAGCATACATTATGAAGCTCTTTGGTGGCACTATTGGCTGGCGAGCCAATAAGCAAGACACAGTGACTACTTCAACAACTGAAGCGGAGTTGCTGTCGCTTGCGCAGGCCACTAAAGAAACGATATTCATGTCCCGACTTCTGAAGGAATTAGGGGTGTCCTTGGACACTACTGCAGTCAGGATGGAGTGTGATAACAAGCAGACTATACGCCTGATCAATAGTGATCTCATGGCACTAAAGACCAAGCTCCGTCATGTTGATATCCACAACCACTGGCTGCGGCAGGCAGCAGTTACAGGAGATATTGAGGTTGTCTACGTCCCCACCGACCTTATGATCGCCGACGGCCTGACGAAAGCATTGGCTTCTGATAAACACAAGACCTTCGTCCGGCAGATAGGCCTCACCGATGTGGCTATGAAAATTCAGCAGCGGCGGATGCGGGAACTAACAGTTGAGGACTTCAGCAGAATGGAAGATAACCTTGTGGGAGGAGAGGTTGACTTCCATCTTGACTGATAATAGGATTGTTTGGAACAGGAAGAATGACCTAGAGATCTGGAAGGTAATATGTCAGCATGGTCCTGCGGACAATGCTGAAGGGGTGTGTCAGATAGGGCACCTGGTTCCTAGGTTCAGAAATAATATGGCACTAGAGAAGACTATTGTCACTTGAAGTTCAGAAGGCGAAAGGAACCCCTCTTCTCAAAAGTAACACCAAAGTTACCGACATGTTCTAAAGCATCTATAAAAGGCAGAGCAACGGGAGTTCGCGAGAACAGAAGTGTCAGAGCCACAAGTGTCATCCGAGGCGGGCCGGCTTCCACCAGGAAGGAAGTCGTTTGTGGCGGCTAGAGAGCCGCTTGTGGCGAATGAGAGCTGTTGAAGCCGTTTGCAGCGGATAGGGAATCGCTTGGTTGCAGATAAAGAGCCGCTATCCAAGATGTTGGCCGAAGTCGAAGGAACACAGACATGCGGAAGCAAACATCCAGAATCCAACAGAGAACCTCGGCTGGCTATAAGTAAGGAGTCGAGACGGAGGAAGATAGAGAGGGGAGAGATCAATAAAACGACTGTGGATACCCCTACCTGCCATCACCAAGTGACCACCAGTGAACACCAGGTGACCACCAGGGGGACACGCCTATTTCTCCCCTTCACTCTGTACTATCGCCTTCGGTCCAGGCCGTACCCTGACAAGAAGACAGACAGACAAGAACACACCTCATTTATATACAATCTTACGCACTGCTGACTACTCGATTGGACACACGTGATATTCGACAATTATTGCTTGAGGACTCCGCAGCAGGACTTACTTACTAGCACAAACCCTTACAGACTCTTTAGTGGTTTACGCAGCTAGACTATTAGAGGTTTCGTTACACTTCTCAATATGGGTTTGATGCCTTCGCATTAAACCCTCCACGAACGCACCGTACAGCCGTTTCAACACACTAAAAGGTACCAAATCCAAAGGCTGGAGCTTGTGGGATGAATGGGAAGGCATACACAATGTAATTACGCCGTGCGCCGCGAGGTAAGTCTCAAAATCCATCGAGTGGTGGCTCTCGTGACCATCCAATATTAAGAGACTTTTCGCACCCTTACGACGGCTAATAATATGTTGAACAAAGTGTTTTGCCCATTCCACACCAATATTATTAGTAGTCCAACCGTTATGGGAAAGGTCGACCTTCCAGTTGGCCGGTAGGTCGTTACCGCGATACCACGAAGCAAGATGAACCTTGCCCGCGAAGATGATGTACGGCGGTACCGGCCAACCTTGCGAATTAATAGCCTGGATCACCGTAACCCATTCCCGACCTCCTTGTGTAGCCTGTCTAGGCCGTCCGTGTCTTTCTGCACTCGTTACAACCATACCGGTTGTGATTATGCCCATTAGGAAGCCCGTCTCGTCAAAGTTGTAGATATCCTCCGGTAGGATACCGTATTTAGCGATTGTGTCCCTAACAAGCTCAAACCACGCGTAATACGCGATAAGATCTTCGCTAAACACCCTCTGGTAATCAATTCGACGGTTTAAACGCGTTCGGAGGTCTTGTCGGCGGTTAACGAAGTTCGTGGTCCAGTTCTTGCCGACGGGGGGCGCGTCGCATACGCGTCGTAGGATATTCGCCATTTCTTCAACGTATCGAAGCCGAGGAGGAAATGCTCGCGCATCTAGCTCAATTATACGTCGGGCAATCGTATCCTCTTCGGTTTGAGTTAGATTTCGTTTTAACATATTAGCTTCGTGTCGCGTTTGGTCGCCGTCGAATCGATGTCTTTTGTGAAGGTCAACCCTCGCAGACTCACTACAACCAGGTGACTTACAGCTGGAACACCTGCCGTGGCAGTGTCAGATGGGAAGCCAATCATAACCCTTGTAGGAGCCCCGCCAGGCGTGGATGACTTAGTCGCGCTCCCTCAAACCTAAGTTGTCATCTTCTTTCCTTCGCTCCTTAGAGTAGAATCTTCGTCGATAGCACCTAATCGAGGTCTCTACCAATGCGATGCAACCCAGGTCGTGACATCTTTAGTGTACGGTCGCAAACGTTGTAGATACGGCCAAGCTTACGCCATGAAATTTCAGGGTTGCGCTTTTTAGCTTGGATAGCTAGCTGAAGATCGGCTTCTTTGGATTTACGAGGCATGTTGTGGGAGGGAAGAAAAGTGCAAGCTAAGTTAAAAGGTTGAAATATTTGAAAAAGTGCGAAAGTGACTTGTGTGCGAAAATGACTTGTGGATCACGTTTATATCAAAACAATATTAGTAATCTGTGAAGGTATCTGATGTTTACTTTATACGAGCTAAGGCGCTACGACGGCGTAGCATTTATTAGGGGCGGCAGTTGTGAAGCTATTATTTACATTGTCAGGTGGTAGGGATCCTTGTTGTCATATACAAGGGACACGTGACCATCAAGAGGTTACTGTCGAATATCACGTGTGTCCAATCGAGTAGTCAGCAGTGCGTAAGATTGTATATGAATGAGGTGTGTTGTTCTCTGTGTTTTATTCTCGCGAACTCCCGTTGCTCTGCCTTTTATGGATTCTTTCGGAAATGTCGGAGGTGCATTGTTCAGGTGTCTGACCCCTAAGTGGACCGTAACTTTGGAGTTACTTTCGGGAAGAGGGGTTCATTTCGCCGTCTGAACTTCAAGTGACACTAGTCTTCTCTAGTGCCATATTATTTCTGAACCTAGGAACCAGGTGTCCTATCTGACAGTTACGTGATTGACCAGTAGTGTGGCTAAGATTACCAGCGACTTGGGGTCAGCCTCAGAGCCTTCGGAAGGGGCTTCTGAACCGACTATCTCAAGCTCATAGCTATCTCACAGAGAGATCAAATTGCAAGATATGTGAATATCTGACACTTGTGGCTACCTTTGCATGTACGATACTTCACTGTTGGTCATTATCGGCCCTTGTATACGATGGTTATTGTTAAATTAACCCACATTGATGACCACTACTATATTCCACGTATGCTACATTCGGGCGCTGATCGACAAAGTATGTTGTTGGCACTGCACTGCTACACTGCATCGGACATCAGGCATGAAGCCAGTCTACCCCGCGTTCTAGGAGAGGGGCAGCGGGGCAATGCATGCATCATGGTCTAGAATCGCCTAGCCGCACAGCCCGGGCAGAAAATCCATATGTTTGAAAGTAATAACAATATTCCAGCGATCTCATCAAAGAGGCAGTAGTGATACGAGAATATAATAATAAAAGGTGGAAGATTTGTGTCAACTCTAATCAGAGTTCTAATCAGAGTTGGAAGCAATGCTCAGCTCATGTTATTCTTTCCGATACCGCCTCGGAACGGTGTGAAGTTGCCATCCAATTCGGCTTAACGGCTCGATCACAGTTCCCAATGACCCTGCAAACTTGACATTTCGCCGAATTGGACATTTAGCGATATCACCAAGACCCTGCATTGGCATTGCGCGGTTCCATCGATGAATCTGATCTCCGGAATAAGCCCCGAAAAAAAGTTGTAGACAGGCAAAACCACCGCTAATAAAAGGCCTTATTTTAGTAATAATCGAATCAAACCTGAAAGCTTGTCCCTCAGGACAGGATGGCACAGAATCATCACTCCATGATGGAGGGTGGCCTCGAGATGTCATTGCAGCAAGTACTATTTTAGTACGCTTTATTTAGTACGTACCTACAACAAACCAAAGCTGCCTCGCGGGAAGAAGTCCACTCCAAGTTGAGACCTGCTTGCCACTTGGCCCTACAGTAGGTCTAAACCCCGCATTCGTGAGTGAAAACCGTCAATAGGAAGTGGTAACCATGTGCCATATTGTCGTTCCAGCGTTCTTGCTGTTTACACTGCTTTTAATACCATCTGAAGGTCGTTTCGTGCCTTCCCTGGTGTTTCCCTGTTCAAACTCTAAACAGAGTGGTCAGCTGCTTCCCCGACGCGCTGCTTCTCCGACGGGCAATTGTCCTCCGGCGTAAATAGGGGAGGAGCCCATTTGCGAATGCTGAAACTGTTATCAGGCCTTGCTCCTGGAACAATTCGTTTTTGTGTCGAGCATCGTCTGCTATGAATCGCACGTTTTGGATTCGATACTGCTTGCTACTTTGAGACATCGCCCCGATTTTCCTGCACGGAAACTTTTCCCAGTACATAGCACCTCCGCTCAAAGACAAACAGAAGTCCTCATTATTCTGGAGAAGCGCACGTTCGCCTGGCTCGCCGGCAGCTCGTGAACGACTCCGCCCCACTCAGTGAGACCCGACACACGATCCTATCGATCCTCGAGACACCGGACAGCCTTCTGCTGCCTCTGAGAGCGAGAGAGAACTAGAAAGTGTTGTTGTTGGTGTCAATTGACATCATTGCGGAGCTTGTCAGTGCCTCATTCTCAATTGTTCTTCATTTTTGAGTTTCGCAACGTTCGCAGTCACGGTTCTCAACCGTTGGATCCACTGTTGGTCTCGACGATTCCGACATGCTGGGCCGAGAACTACTCCACCAACTCTTGGCTTTTCCAACTTGACAGATCGACTTGCTAGGGCCTTATCAATCCTTGCCAGCACCAAAGCACAACTCCGTACCCATCCATTGAGCGACATGTGAACCAACGTTTAGATCCGGGATTGCCCACCTTGCCCACACAGGTCCTTTCTAGTCGGCCAAAGGTGCCGCGAGGCCTCGCCAATGGCGTGTTGGGCTCTGTTATAGCCTCATCTGCGTATCCGCGTTGCGTTGATTCCTGCTTCAACTCATCTAGTAGAGACATTAAAGACTCAGGAGCGTCCAATGCAATCTGCTAACCATGGCTTATGTGTAGTTCGCGTCCCTCGAGTATCACTTTTCCAGGACCGGCCCGGCGTGACGGATAGAGCTGTGTCCTTCGTCTTTAACGTCATTCAAGCAAGCCTCTGCTTCTTTATTGCTGGGACTATGAGCTCTAACACAATCAAGCAAGCCGCTGAATCTGCACGCTCCAAGGCCGGTAACATGAGAAAGCAAAGCACCGAAACCGTGGCCGTGGTCAAGACTGACTTCCTCCACACTCCCTTCATGCGGGCTGCGCTGCCATTCATCAATGGCGGCGTTTCTGGCATGCTCGCAACTACCGCAATCCAGCCTGTTGACATGATCAAGGTCAGACTGCAATTGGCTGGCGAAGGTGTTGCCACTGGACCAAAGCCCACCCCTCTCAGTGTCACAAAAGAGATCCTAGCCCAAGGCAAAGTGCTCGACTTGTACACTGGTCTCTCGGCCGGTCTCCTCCGTCAAGCTGTGTATACCACGGCGCGCCTCGGCTTCTTCGACACATTCATGAAGAAACTGACACAACGAGCCAAAGATAAGGGCAACAGCATTGGCTTTGGTGAGCGAGCAGGCGCTGGTCTCGCAGCAGGCGGCCTGGCGGCCTTTATTGGAAACCCTGCAGATCTGGCCCTGATCCGCATGCAGTCAGATGGGCTGAAACCAATTGCCGAGCGCAAGAACTACAAGTCGGTGGTGGATGCAATTACGTCCATTGTCCGCTCCGAAGGTGTAACGGCACTCTGGGCCGGATCGTCACCCACCGTGGTCCGAGCCATGGCGTTGAACTTGGGACAGTTGGCATTCTTTTCCGAGGCCAAGGCCCAGCTCAAGACGCGCACCAGCTGGTCTTCCCGAACACAGACGTTGACAGCCAGTGCCATTGCCGGTTTCTTCGCCTCATTCCTCAGCCTGCCCTTTGACTTCGTCAAGACGAGACTCCAGAAACAGCTGAAGGGGCCTGACGGGAAGTTGCCATACAAGTCCATGGTCGATTGTTTCAAGAAGGTGGCCAAAGAGGAAGGCCCGCTGCGCTTCTACCGCGGATTGTGAGTGGTTTACTTACTTACCCCCCTCTACCCTTATGTGAGCATATTCTCACATGGGACGACAGTGCAACCTACTACGTGCGCATTGCACCACACGCTATGATAACTCTCATCGTTGTTGACTACCTTGGCTGGCTGACCAAGTAATTGCGTGCTGCAAGATGGTATCTTCTTTGTATGGGTGGATCAAGTGTGTGAAGGCGTTTATGGTAGCATCACGGGGAGTGATGAGTTGATCAGGAGTGCCAGCTGTAAATATCTTTAGCTACGAGCTTTTTATTTGCTCGGAATGTAAAGTTCAACGCCGTTAACAAAAAATCTTGTCTGAAACGGCCCATTCCTGAGTTCCTGCTTCCATTCCCGGTTACTGTCCACATTCGGATAGTCCCACTGAGGGGTAGTTAGCAGAATCTACGCTATCGTGGTAGGGTTAAGGGAGCTTGTTCAGATGGGGCAATAGTGAAAGGCGGGTGTGTCCTTGACTTACTAGAGTACAAATACATCTGCCTGCCATGACATCAACCCGGACCAGTCGGTCATTGACTGCTATACTCCGGTGTCGGCTTCCTCAGATTCCGCTTTAGTCTTCGAGAGTTCGTCATCATGTCCCGCCATTACAGAGTAACAATCCTGAGCTACACGAGAAAATAAGGAAACTAAAGACAAAACCGAATAATCAAAACTCTGTATAGTAATTTAATCATGGCCGCAAATCAATTGATTGACACCGCCACGTTGGCTGCGGACTCGCTGTTTCACGTCAATGGCATGGTCGCCGTGGTGACGGGAGGCGGCACAGGTAGGTTCCTCACCATGCTTACATCTCGTGAGTACGAGCTCACACTGCACTAGGTATCGGGCTTATGATGGCCAAGGGTCTGGCAGAGAACGGAGCTTCCAGGGTATATATTCTGGGCCGGCGTCTCGAAGTCCTCGAGAAAGCCGCCATGTCCATAGGCAAGCCATCCGTCAAACCCCTAGAATGCGACGTGACGTCCAAACCCAGCCTCCAAGCCGCCGTCGAAATAATCAAGCAAAACGAAGGTTTTATCAACCTTCTAATCTGCAATTCGGGCATCGGCGGCCCACAAGTCAAACGTCCGTCTCCGGAAATGACGCTGAAAGAGTGGGCGGACGAGAATTTTGACGTGCCGATGGAGGAGTACACCAAGACGTTTGCGGTCAACGTCTCTGCGGTGTGGTTCACAACGTTGGTATTTCTGCGGCTACTGGACGCGGGGAATAAGAAGGGAAATATCTGGCAGAAGAGCCAGGTCATTGCTACGAGTTCCATTGGCGGGTTCAATAAGCAGAATACCGGCGGTTATGCGTATGGACAGAGTAAGGCGGCTGCGACGCACTTGGTCAAGCAGTTGGCGGTTGCATTACCGAATTGGGATATTAGGGCGAATGTTATTTGTCCTGGGTGTAAGTCTTCCCCTCTCTACAGTGACGTTTGTGGTGGGAGTTTGAAGATGGACAGGTGGGGAATGCTAACTGGTTGGGCCTGTCTAGTGTATCCAAGTGAGATGTCTGCTCCGATTATTGAGCGAGGGGGTTGTTTTGGAAAGGATATGATTCCCTTGCAGAGGGTAGGGGATGAGAAAGATATGACGGGGGCAGTTCTGTATTTGACATCTAGGGCAGGGGCTTACTGCAATGGTACCGTCATTGTGTCAGATGGAGGTAGACTTGGACTGTTCCCGTCAACGTTTTAGATGGCCTTGCATGCTGGCAACAAATAGCCTGATGTTTTCCATAGCATTCAGGGATAGATGTTAACGATGAATATAAGTTGATTACAATTTGTATGTACTTTGATATTCTGTAAATCATTGTAGCCTCTGTTTTCCTCCTTCCTCTCATGTACCTTAGTGTTGAAGATTTTAATACTATCTAGGCATGTCACTCATGACTGTAATGGTCAAATTGGTTAGAAGGCACTTGCAATTCTCCTCCAACTAGAATTCAATTCTGTCACATCTCACGATACGGCGCCCAGTGCGAATGCTGCAGCGGTCCCCACTGCGAAAGTGCTGGGAAAACGGTTTACTAGACTTGGCCATCCTACTAAAATCCTCAGCCCACCGATCTCAATCTCCCGATTAATTCAGAAAGCTTGTAGTGCGATGGAAAAACAATAATTAAGAGGATATTAATTCACAGTATAGGCTTGACCACATATGTAGGACCGGGTAATTTACCCACTATACTTCGGATTTTTAGACCTACTATCTTCATAAGCCGTAAGAAATGACACTCATGTCAGACTTGAGGCAACTCTGTGAGTGACCTGTGGGCTATTTAGGTACAGCCGAGGAACACCGCTAACGAATGAAATGTCAGCGAAAAAGCGAGAGTTAGCCACAATTAGGAAATGAGAAGCATCTTCATTGAATTGCCGAATCCTATTTTTATCTTTCAACATGATATTTATCTACTCTTGTCGGCTGGTGTAGTTGGTCACTTCGCTGGTAGATAAGTCCTGATTTGAGCCTCGCCCACTTGGGTCGGTGACGAGTCGCGGGTTCGAATCCCGCAGCTGACACACAAGGGGGTTTAGTCAACCCTTACGGCGCGCTGCCCACCTTGTTGACTTCGCCTACCTAGCGATAATAGGGAGATTGGTGCAGTTTAGGATTACGAGCATCCTAGCCAGTCGACCGTCAAGCACTACGTCGGCGGAATATAACTCGACAGCCGGTCCAGAATTCGAATCGTTAATCCGACCCCTTATCGGACCCTCTCTCGCCGCGATTCTTGCGAGCGTCTAGACCACGTTACGGTCTATCCACTTGAGCGTATGGTTGAGATGTATACGCTCGACAAGAACCCCAATTAGCAGATACTACGACTTGTCGCGACAAAAAAAATAGTCGAGCATCTTCTGCACATCAGCAGCATCCCACCCCTGAGGACGAATTTAAGTGCCACATTACCACACTTATCGGTAGTTCAGGCAGGGGTTGTAGCACAGACTTAGGGAGGGACAGGAGGTTTAGTAGTCGTTTGGCTACAAGTTTACCTGTATAACCGCCCGACGCGGCTTAAGGGCCCGCTATATCATCTATAGCCCCTTAAGGGAGTACTTGTAGAGGTACCGAGGGTTAACACCTACGGCGTATTTAATATTATTTTTAATTTGAAATAATTGAATAAAAAATAGAAGAGAGTTACGTTTACTTATACCTAGCTTAAGTATCTTTTGCAAGAATATAACGTAGAGGAAGTTTCAAAAGATTGTTACCCTAATTAGGCCAAATCTGTCCTAAGGGAAGAGAATTTAATACTCTTTTCCGGTTCGACGGTAAGGAGTCAGAGCTGATCCCTCTACGAGCTGGCGTCCCCCAGGGGTCGCCACTCTCCCCGATACTATTTATCCTATATATCTCGACGCTATATGAGGAACTAGCGGAGAAACACCCCCTACTCAGCGTGAGCACAGACACGGGCACGACCTGCCGCTGACTAGAGGACGCTTGGGCTACGTGCCAACGGTGGGCCGCCAGGCACGGGATGGAGTTCGCTCCGGACAAGAGTGAGCTGATGCACTTCACTAGAACCCGAGACCCCTCCCCGCAGAGTATCCGTCTTGGAAACGCTACAGTAACGCCGAAGGTCTCGGCAAGGTTCCTAGGGGTCTGGTTTGACCGCAAATTAACGTGGCACGCCCATACCGAACGGGTTAAATCAAAAATGGCGACTCAGAAGCTAGCCCTAACAAAGCTAGTGAACATGGCGTGGGGCTGCGATCTCATACGGGCGAGACTACTGTACACGTCGGTTATTCGCAGCGCGATCACCTTCGGGGCGGCTGCGTGGCACACTATAAGCGAGGAACCAGCGGGACCAGCTAAGAGCCTAGTCGGGATACAGAATGAGTGCCTCCGAGTAGTCTGTGGCGCCTACAAAGCGACACCGGTCCGACACCTAGAAATAGAGGCAGCTATCCCGCCACTAGACCTATATCTCAGTGCCCGGGCGGTGAAATTTGAAGAACGGCTACGGAATAACGGCAAAAGGAGCCTGCTTCGAAGCGCGAGCGCGAGAGGGTCACACATACTCCGACAGGACACGCCGGCGAGACGGAAGCGGCCGTCACAATCGCTCAGACCAGCGGGGTACACGATAGAGAAGGAGGCTAGGGGCTCCGAGTGGATAGGCAAGGCGAAGGAAGTCCCGGCCGCCCTCCTAGACCACTGGGAGAAGAGATGGCTCTCCAGGGCAGCACAACACGACCGCCAGCGACGCGCTATCGCCGAGGAGCAGGAGGGCCCCTCGATGCGAATGCCGAAACAGGGCAAGTACTCAGACCTAAACCGACCGGAGGCGTCTACTCTATGCCAGATCAGGACCGGAAAAATAGGACTATCAGTTTTCTTATTTAAGATAGGAGCCTTCGGTGTGTACTCGCCGTTATGCCGCTGTGGAGAGGCCCCCGAGACGGCAGAGCACGTAATCCTCGTTTGCGGCCTGCTGGAAGAATCGAGAGAGCGCCTACGGGCCACTATTGCACCATGGCCGCTGCATACACGTAGAGACCTGGCAACGGCGACGGGGAAACCAGTAGTCAGCGGGACTATCACAAGGTGGCTACTCAGGACTGGCCGGATAGCGCTTAGGCCGGATAATATCGATCTTCTCAGGGGGACTTTGTTAGTAGGGTGAGAACTAACATAGTATTGTGGTGGACGTAACGCAGTCGCTAATAGAGCGAACCTACGTAGCAGCGTATGTATTTAGTCCAGCCATTAGGGCACGGTTTGACATACGGGAGCACTTGTAGAGGTACCGGGGGCTTCGAGCCTACGGCGTATTTAATAATAATAATACTCTTTATTTTGATTTAAGGAAAAGTTAGAAAGGCCGTTTACTACTCCTTATTTATTTAATATTAGAAAATGCAGCGCTAGAAATAAGTAAAAGCAAATAGAATAGTTTATTTTGGTTTACTCTAATTAGATCTATATAACGTGTAACGAGGCAGAGGCACATAGGTACGAATCAAGGTTGCATATCAGTGCATCTCTATTGTTGAATACTAAACTAGGGAAGAAAGAGAAGGAAAGGGTTACAAGTATGTCTGGCCGTTCTCCTATTATAAGGGGAACGCGCTCGTCCAGATCAGGGCAGGCCATGTCAGGATGTCCCTGCTTATCGTCCATGTGTCAGTCGTCACATAACGTAGTCCACGGTCCAATTGCACACTTCGGCAGATTTTCGTACGCTACCACTTTGACCTGCGGTTTTTCACCACATAACTATGGTTGGTTCTTGGAACGAAAGTGATATGATTCTAGCATTACATGCGCTTCAATCTGATCCAAAATTAAGTGTACGTCGCGCTGGTCAGATTTATAACGTACCTTTTAGAACCCTTGCGTATCGACGCGACGGTAAAACCGCTCGAGCGATTATGCGATCGCCAACGCAAAAGTTGACTCCTTCCGAAGAAGAGGCAATCGTACGATATATAACTTACCTAGATTCGCGAGCATTTCCTCCCCGATTGAGTGGTGTTGAAGATATGGCCAACCGATTACTTCGAAGTCGCGACACGGGACGCGTCGGCGTCAACTGGGCCTCGAGCTTCGTAAGACGACAACCAGACCTCCGGACGCGTTTAAATCGAAGGATCGACTATCAGAGAGTCCTCTGCGAAGACCCCGACCCGTATCGCGTGTGGTTTGACCTGTTACGGAATACAATTGCGAAATACGCGATCCAGGAGGAGGATATCTACAACTTCGACGAGACCGGTTTTGTGATGGGCCAAATCTCGTCCGAAATGGTCGTGACGACTTCTGATCGGCGCGGAAGGCCTAGAGCAGCCCAGCAAGGAAATCGGGAATGGGTTGCAGTTGTTCAAGGCGTTGGGTCGTCCGGTTATGCCCTCCCTCCGTACATCATTTTCGCCGGCAAAACCCACCTCTCGTCATGGTACGAAAACAGCCCATTACCGCCTGATTGGGTTATCACAGTTACTAAAAATGGCTGGACTACGAACGAGAGAGGCGAAGATTGGATTAAGCACTTCGATCATCACACCAAGTCTCGTACGAAAGGTACTCATCGCCTATTGATCCTCGACGGTCACGAAAGTCATCACTCGACCGATTTCGAGGTATATTGCAAAGCTAACAATATCGTCACGCTTTGTATGCCTCCTCATTCGTCGCATAAGCTCCAGCCTCTTGATGTTGGTTGTTTTCGCGGGTTAAAAAGAGCGTACGGAAAAGAAATCGAAGATCTCATGCGAGCACATATAAGTCCTATCTCGAAAGAAGACTTTTTGCCGGCGTTTTTAAACACGAATAAGGCAAATGAGACCTTAAGTCGACGTCGCCGTGCGAAGAAAAAACAGCTACAGAGTGGAGGGTCACTTCATATACAAGCTGGACAGGACCTACAGTCTCGACGAGAGGTTGATGGGCAGTTACATGACGAATTTCGTCAAATTGGTGGTCGTACGAGGCGGCGAATTGCGCGTGTACGGCGCTGTAGAATCTGCGGCGAGCCCGGACATAATGCGCGCACTTGTGGAAATGATGTAGAGACGTCTGAAGATAACGATTCTGAGTAGTTTCAATTGATGATAGGCGTTGTGGTTGAATTAACTTATACATTGTCGTATAAGGTCTGCCAAAGTGTGCAATTGGACCGTGGACTACGTTACCCCTATTTTAAAAAGTCTAAATAAAAAATAAATAATATTAAATACGCCGTAGGTGTTAACCCTCGGTACCTCTACAAGTACTCCCTTAAGGGGCTATAGATGATATAGCGGGCCCTTAAGCCGCGTCGGGCGGTTATACAGGTAAACTTGTAGCCAAACGACTACTAAACCTCCTGTCCCTCCCTAA